CTGCGGCCAGCGCGCCCCGCCGGCGGGGGGAGGGGGCCCCATTTCCGCCTTCCACCGCCGAGCAGGAGCACCAAGGAGGCCTCCGGGGCGCAGAACGGCGCGGGAGAGGCAGTGCGCACGCGAAGCGTGTAGCAATATTTTCTTCATGCCACAGCCGTGGCTCGGCGGGAGTGCTGCTTCAGCCGCAGGCCACAGGGCGCATCCCTTCAGGGAGGGCCCTTACCCCTCCAGGGAAGGGCGGATTGCGACCAGCACGAGGTGTGAACCCAGGGCGGGCGGGCGGGTCCGCGAAAAGCGCGCGGAACTACCCCCTGGGCCTGCGCTCGAGAAAACAATACCGACGGTGAAAGACCCCACATGAAGGCGAAGCCCATCGATATTGCAATATAAAGGGAGCAACCTGCAATGATTCGATACGAAGAATAACTCGTTTTGGGGTGTCCGCGAAAACCTCGTTTCCCGAATGCACAGCCTCCTCAGAAACTGCGCTTTCCGCCTACCACCGCCGAGCAGGAGCACCAAGGAGGCCTCCGGGGCGCAGAACGGCGCGGGAGAGGCAGTGCGCACGCGAAGCGTGTAGCAATATTTTCTTCATGCCACAGCCGTGGCTCGGCGGGAGTGCTGCTTCAGCCGCAGGCCACAGGGCGCATCCCTTCAGGGAGGGCCCTTACCCCACCGAGGCCTAAATTAATTACAGAGGCTGCTTCCAAACAGGTAAGGCCAGCAGCGGCCGCTGCGCAGTTGCAGAGGGCGCAGCCTGCTTTGGGTTAGCGGCCGCCGCAGCACCCAACAACAATTGACGGCGATCGGAGTCTGGGTGCTTCGCGTAAAACGCTCTCATGACATCGAGAGACGACCACCCGCCCTGCGCTTGCACAAGGGTTTCCGGGAGCGCCGCGGCATGCTTCCACCACAAGGCGCCGCCTTTTCTCAGTGAGTGACTCCCCACCGAGGCGGGATCCTTCACGTGTCGGGATAGCATTCTGCGGAAAGTATCCGCGGACACTGCTATCGGGGAGGCGGCGCCGGTCACGCAAAAGAAATAACCAGTGGAAGCTGGCCACAAAGCTGCTCTGCGGGCCGCCCACGACTGCATAAGTTTCAGAGGGCAGAGCGGCCCCAACTCTGGCAGCCGCGGGAGCCAGATGAGCATTCCCACGCCGCAAGGATCGTTCTTCTGCCGGCGGATACGGCACTCAACAGCATCTTCTTGGAAGACAACATCCTCTGTGAGGAGCCCTTGTACTTCTGCAAAGCGCCGGATCCCGAAGAACGCTGTCGCAACCATTGCAGCATCGCGCAAACCAGCATCTGAGGCTTGGGCAAGGCGACAACGCTGCACAACACACGCCTCGTCGAACGAAAGTGGCCGCTTGGCGTGCCGCAGCGAATGGTCAGCGAGCTTTTTGAGACCTCGCCAGAAATGCCAAGCTCGAGGAGTCCAAGCCAAATCGAAAGCAGCAAGTAAATCACGCTCTACATGCCAAGCCCTGACGGCAGCTTTTGCTGCGCCCACAGTGCCCCAAGGCTGGCCGATCATCCCAGCGAACAACACCATGACCTTTTCCTCCGTGTCGCAGGGCAGCAAGGACAACGCAGTGTCAGATTCGACTGTGCTCACCACGCTGCGCAAGGTGGCGTCGTAGCGACTGCGCGTGGACGGCTCCCAGGCCGCCGCCAAACAGCGATCGATGTCAGCGGCAGCCTTCCGACGCGCGGCCAACTGCACCGGCGCACTCTCGCCGGCAACCAGTGCAAGCGGAGCCCTGGGAGCACCGAGGCTGCGAGCCCCAGGGCCGTCTGCGTGAATCGCACTCGGCGTGTCCGCGGCGGCCGCCACCGTCAGCCTGGGATACCCGCTAGAAACTTCTGCAACAGGTACCGCCGCACGGGCGGGGCTGCCCCGAGAGCCACTGCTACCTGCGGAGGTCGCAGAAGCACCGTCGGCGACAAGAGACTGACACAGCGCCGTGTCCAGCGGAACTGCACCAGAAGATGCCCAAGCAGCGCGGCTGATGTCGAGCATGCTCAGGAACGACGTGGCTTTCCGCACCCCAACTCCAATGCCCGAGCGCCCAGGAACCGCCGCATCCGCCACCGCCGACACAGCGCCATCTCCGCCAGCACCAGCACGCGCAGCTGCCGGTTCCAGCGGAAGGGGCGGCCGCCGCGATCCCGCGCGCGCTGCTTTGGAAGGGGGCGAATTGAAATCATTTCTGTGCACGAAATCACCCATTGTCTTGGACCCGAGGCTACGGAACGGCAGTGGGAAGACACATGTGGCGCATGAAAGACGGAAGGCCCACTCAATTCGGAGCCTCTGAGACCAGCCGTGGCGGACACCCCATAGAGGCCTGTTATTTTTCATTTTTCAAGGATCTCTTAAAAGCGGCCTGCACGTCGGGAACAGCAGCAGGCGGCTAAACGCCATGGAAAATCGAATGGCTCTGGCGCGTGGCTGGAGATGCCTAGTTTTTGCACTCCGACATCCAGTGCAGGAGATGGCTTGTCCGTCCCGCCTTCGTGCACTCAGAACACGGGAGCATGCAATCGTTCCCCTGTTCCTTGCAGTGCTTCAGCGTGTGGTTGACGATGCCCTTGCCGCTGAACAAGCAATTCTTGCACACGTGCTCCCTGAAGAGGCACGTCATCGTGCTCTTGTGCTGCTCACTCACAAGGTATTGCTTGTCAACCCAAGACTGGATCTTCTTGGTGCTGCCGGTCCGGACCACGTGCTCCAGCTCGCGCAGCAGCGTGTCCAACAAGGCCTTGCGGTCGGGCTTGTCGCCGGGCTCCTTCTTCGTGGTGAAGCCCTGGTTGGCTGAACCACTGGGGCGCGCCGAAACCTGGGGGGAGGCGCCCGCGGACCCCTCGCCATAGCGAGGTGCCTTCGCCGACGGCGCCCCTGACACATCAGACGCACCCAGCCTTTTTCCGGGCCCCTTGGCCGCCAGCGCTGCCTCCGCCAAAATGAGGTCCTGGGCGAAGTCGCGCAACAAGAGCTCGTGCTCAAGCGGGATAGACGCACTCGCTTTCGTGGTCCGCCGCTTGTATTGCTTGATGGCCAGGTGAATGAACTCGAGGAGGTGCTCCCTCTGCGCTGCAGCTTTCTCTGGCCCCGTTTTCTTGGCGGACTGCGCGACAGTGCAGCGGCGGTCCAAGAGGTTCAACAAGACCAGCAACGATCGCGCCAGGGCCTTGACATTGTCCAACGGTGAATCTGCCTTCTCCATAAGGAAGTTCTTGAGCTTGTCCCACGAGCCGCCATGGCTGGGGAGGCACAGCTGCTTCCATGACAATTTTGCCGCATAGCGCGCTGTAGACGCGCGGCGAAGCTGCTGCAAGTCGGCGTTCTCGGGGTGCGCCGCCTGCAGCGCCAGGATTGTGGCCAGGGAACTGTTCTGCTCGACGGCTTGGAGCGTCCACGATACCTGGTCCTGGTCTACGACCAAATCGCGCCAGGCCGACACCCACTCGTCCATGCTAAGTGCGCGGAGCTTCGCCCTGTACGGAAACTCAGTGTCTGCGCGCCTGTTGTATTCGTCCTTGATGAGCGTCGACAAACCTGACGTAGGATCTTTCAACACCGCAGTCACTGCCTCAATGGCCTTGTCGCGCACGACCTCTTCTGCTGCTTTCTCAATGGCACGCAAGCCTGGCCCCCCTGGCTGGAAGGTTTTGGCGATCTCCTCGACGATGGCGGTGCGGATGGCGCCGCCCTGCTCGAGTGCCGCCCGGATCGCTGCTTCCGCCATCCCTGGTAAGTGCAAGCGAAACACGAGACAGGGGCACGGTCTGATGTTTGTGGCAAGTCGCTTCGCGAGCTGGACGCGGCTGCGAGAATAGATGTTCGACAAGACCACAGCGAACCCGCAATGGCAACCTGGACACACAAGAAAGAAAAGGAAGAGCAGATGACGATGATGTTTCCTTTTTTTCAGGCTCGCCCGAGCTTGCGCTTGCGTCTGTTTGGCTGCCAGCTCTGCAGCAAAAGGTAAGGAACATCAGTTTTTGGGCCAGACCGCCAGGCCATGCCTTCACGAATCCTGAACAAATCTGAGCCTTTGGGCCACGACCGGACACGGTGCCAATGCTGCAGGAAAAGTGGTCGGAACCACGGAGCCCCAACATCTTCCGGGCACAACAGCACGATCTTCGGCGGGTTCTCCTGTGCAAGTGCGGCGTTCAGGAATTCCAACGCAGGCCGGAGCAAGGCGCGCGGTGGATGAGCCCACACCACTTCATTGAGCAAGCACGCCTCGAATGCTGTGCGCTCGGGCGAACGCCACGTTGGGGCCCTGGCTGTCATTCCTTCCCTGTCCGCGAAAAGGTCGAGGGAGAATTCGGCACCTGTCCTGGCGAGGATGTCGCGAAAGATGCTATCCTTGATGGTAGCATGCTGGAACTGATCGGAATTCCATTGAAACGCAAATTCCGAATTTCGCGATCCCAAGTCAGCAATTCTATTTGCGATGCCTTTCAAATGCACCGCCAATGCCCAACAGGAGGCCCGTCTTTCTGCTGCTTCCAATTTTTCGGCCAGGGTCTCCATTCGAGGAATGTTGCCGTATCGCACATTCACGTAATGAACAGCGCAAGTGTTGTCCACTCGAAATAGTAAGCGCCAGCCACTTAACTCTTCCCCGCAATCCTCCAAACATTTTACGACAACCCAGAGCTCTTTGTAATTGATCTCATCTTCACCGGGTGACAAGTTCTGTGACGTGGCGAAATCGGACGGCCATGTTCCTGAAACTACTTTTCCCAAGTGGCAAATGTGATATGACCAGCCATGTTGGGAAGACGCGTCTGTCTCTATTACTCGAATGGCGCCTGCTTCTGCCAATTCCTGCCACCGAGAAAACTCTGGAGACTTGTGGCCCCACTTGCTCAGAGCACCCGCGTGGCAATGCAGAGAGCGAACAGGCGGCGACGCCAGCGATCGCAAGGCCCATGCAAGGTTCTTCCTGCTGAGTTCAGATAGCTGCACAGGCGGGTTC